AACAAGCATCCTGACCCCACCACGCTGTGCCTCATTGCGGCTGAGACTGGGCTGTCTGAGGAGCAAACCCTGGTGAGTGTGCGCCTCTTGCCCCCACCTTGGCACCAGCCCTGCTTCCCCTGTATGCCTCTGTGCTCCCCCTGCATCCCCTGCCTGTCCTGTCCCTGGCTGTCGTACCCCCTGCACCCTTCTGTCTCCCCACGTGCTTCTTACTGCACCCCTACTTACGCTCTCTGCACCCCACATACTCCTTACTGCACCCCACACTGCACCCACAAGTCTTCTCTGCAACCACCAGTGCACCTCCAACCCCACACTGCACCCACAGAGCTGTACTGCACCACTGCACTTCCCTGTACCCCACATCCTCCCTGCACCCCACATGCCCCTGCCCCTGCATCCCCAAAGCCCCTTCCCCTGTAATCGCAGCCCCTTCATCCCACAGCTGTGGTCTCCTGCACAGCAGCTCTGTGTCCCGCTGGGATCCTTGCACACCCCTTGCCCGGGAGCCCCATCCCCAGCCTGGGCTTGGAGACCAGGGTAGTGCCTCCCGCAGCCCGAACAAGGACACATGCCGAGGGTCACTGGCTGACTGTGGAGCCCTCAATACACAACCCATGCATGCTGTCCTTTCCTTTCAACCCATTTCTGATAGTCTTGGGTGCCCGAACCACTGCTGGCTTTATGGTCTGAAGAAACTACAGTCATTTTAAAACAGATACAGGATAGATGCAACTCCTGCAGATGTGCTATGGGACATGCTCAAGCTGAGCACACTCCCCCTCACCGCAATTAGCTAGTTCAGCATCCACAAATCCAAGTGCAGGCAAGTCTGTCAGCCTCTCCAGGAGACACAAAGTCCTCCAAATGTCCCTCCACAGGGACAGGCTGCCACTGTCTGGGACTTCCACTGAACCCTGTGCTCCATCTGGCTACCTGCAGGCTACCCTGGGCTTCAGAAGCAAACGGCTCCTTCCCAATTCCTTCAGGCTGCAGTGCAGCCATTTTTGATGTGGGTGTTTTATAAGCTACTAGACCCATAGCAGCATTGCTGGGCATAGAAAAGAAATCCAGCCCGCTGAAAAGTTAGCAGCATTTTGCAGAGAGCTGCTAAGCCTGGCTCTCTGTGAGCAAAGCGAAAGGGATCCGAGAGCTGAGCAGCCAATGCCAGCGTTTAGCCTGTCCCAGGGAAGGATGCTGGTACGACATCCATTGCACGGATAGTCTGGTACAACATCCATTGCACGGATAGTCCTTGGCTGCCGTGGAAAAGGAGACCCCCTCCTCTACTGTGCTTTGGTGGCAGGCAGGTACCACATTGCACTGCTTGTTTGAGGCAGCAAGAAGGCAGTACCCCTGAAATACCTTTTCCTCCTTAGAAATGGCACTGCTCCGTTGTTTTTTTTTTCCTAAAGCAAGTTGTAAACACAGGCCATATATGCCCAGGACACCTCTGGAGATGTCTTAAAATCTCCCCTGATAGCCATCTTTTTCCACAAATCCAGGGTGCTCCTAGAGATCTGGAGATGAAGGTCACATTAGGGACAGAATTGAGACTGGGATGGCGGGCTGCAAAGTGCCTGCATTGCGTATGACACAGAGAATCATCACTCCTGACATCTGGAGTGCTTTATTGGCTAGATATAGCAGCTATTTTAATAAAAAATTTAGTAAAAATGAGATACAAAGAGGTACTGAGTCAACAGGAGACAATGGTTTAGGATAGGAAGTGAAATTTTTGGGAGGAGGGTCAGCAGGCAATCATCTGACTGGATGTGGTCCAAGGCAGTGCTAGTGCAAGAGCCGCTTGTAGAGAGCACCGTGGTTGTATCGTTATGGACCACAATAGCTTCAAAAATAGCCATGAACAAATATAGCAACAAAATGAGCAGCAACAAAGCAAATCAAAGGCACATTCCCAAACAAAAGGCTGAGCTGTGCTTCCGGCACACATGAGTTATATCTCACTTCTTACGGAGGTAGTGAGGCTTTATCCAGCTGCATTTTATCTAACATTTGAAACTGCGGCTGTGTTGAAGTGGCATCAGCAGCTCAGGGAGTTGGCTTAGAGATGCTAAGTTACTACAGAATAATGTAGTCATGCATATTGCTTGAAGACTAAGATAATTTTTAACCCTTTTTTAAATCTATTTGTTCTTAAATCTGCTGAGAGCCACCATGTTGTCCCTCTCATCCTTTCTGAAGCATGTCAGCTTTTGATTCCTGTTAATTTTGGACCTGCAGTGATTGTTTCACTGCTCCAGCCATTTAAACAGACACCACACAGCAACCCCTTAGCCAATCTCTTACTCTGTCTGCAAGAAAAACCTGGACTCACAGCAATAAAACAAGGACTCACCCATGCTGTCAAGGTCTGAAGTGAGCAAGAGAAATGAGTTTGAAAGAGGTGCATGCACCCTTCAGTCAGGAAGGGCTGTCCTGCTGCCTGTACTGCTGGGAACAGTGCAGCACCTTGCTAGAAGATAGCAGTGCTGCGAGTCTCCTTGCCTGGTCTCACGTGCTGACCACATCTGCACCTTTAGCAAAGGGTTTGCTCAGCCCACTGCACTCACTCTCTCTTTTTTTTTTTTTTCCCCCCTCCAGAAATGGTTCAAGCAGCGCCTGGCAGAGTGGAGGAAGTCTGAGGGGCTGCCTTCAGAAAGCGGGTCTGTCAGGGACTAGAGGATGCTGCTCCGATCCCTGTGCCTGCTGTAAAGGATGGTGAAGCTCTTCAGAGTGGGTTTCACTGGGGTTCTCCTGTTGCAATATGTTTTGAGATACAAGCAATACCCTGCTATTTAATATAAGTTTTATTTAAAGTGTACATAACCAGGAAAAAAAATATATATGTGTGTGTATACAGCTTCTGGTAGCTGCATAATCTGTCTAATGATTCCCATCCATTAAGAGTGGCTGCACAGGGCAAGGCAATCTTGTGCCCTTGTCCCAGGCTTGCAGAAAAGCTGCCATGAACAGTTCAAACATGGGGGGGGGGGGGAGATTTCTTTCCCTTATGACCCCCAGAGGCAAATTATGTTTGCTAGCTTTAATGCACCGATCATCCAGAGAGAAGGGCACCTGGAAAACCAGATGTGTTGTTCCAGTGATCTTGGTTAGCTTGAGATGCCTGAGTCAGCTCTGAATACTGGCAAACTGAGTGCCCTCAAATGCATTTCCCACATTTCTGTTAAAGGTCACCAAAGGGAATGAACTGGTCTTTTTTTTTTTTTTCTTCAGTGTATTAATAAAAACCCAAAGTTTTTTGATGAGAGGAGCTGTGTTATCTTCCTGCTTGTGCTCCCCTCCCCAGTGGCAGGACGCAGACTGCTCTGGGAGGGCAACACGATTCCAAGGCAGCCTCAGTGGGCGCCATGGGTTTTCCCTCTAGCCACAGGGATAACCCGCGGACATAGGCAACCTCCTCTTCTCGTGCACCCACAGGCCCATCCCTGGCAGCCCACAGAGCCCCATGCACACTCCAAGCCCGGAGGTGGCAGAGGCTGGTGGTGCTGGGGTTCCCCTGCAGGGTTGGGGGGCCAGACCCCAGCCTCCTTCAGGCCACTCTCAAGGCTGAGGGACGCAGCTGCGCCGGGACTCTTGCACAAAGCCCAAACTCTCATCTGTCCTGGTACAGGACAATGCAACGAGCTAAAAAATAACCAGCACCATTACCCAGTGACCTTATCTTGTTCAAAAGGGTTCAAAATCCTCTGCTTAGTGGCTTATTGAATCAATTAGTGGATCCTCTGATTAATCCTCTTCTGGTTTGTGGTAACCTGCCTCTGCTCCTTTGGAAGGACAATCAGATTAACACAGGAAAGATTAAGATACTCTGGCACTGAAACTGCCACATGCTTGGGAGAATCCTTATTTTGGTTGTTGTTCTTTAATGGTACTTTCATTTATCACTTTTGTCCTTTGCTGGAGAGCATCTCTTTTGCCTCAGTATCTCCAGCCCATCACCAGTGGTTAGATTGCCAGTGCAAAGCACATTGAACTCGTAGGAAAGAGATAAAAGCAATCTCCCTGTGCCATGTCCCACACAGGCTGTGTTGTTCCCCTCCAATCCAGCTGTCAAACTGACTCACCCTCAGAGCCGACTGGAGCCCAGGGTTTGTTCTGCAGAGTCTGGCACTGATACCTGTTTTGTTCTTAATCTTTGCAACGTGCCTTCTGCCTTACACTGAGGAGAACTGCTTTTTTGAGTTAGGCTCCAAAAATCCCAATGCAGGGCTCCATTATTCTGCCCAGGGTCACACAACTGGATATTTGAACAACACAGATTTAACCCGCCTGTGTAACTTGTATCAAAGATGCATGTAAAGCAAAAGTCTGGATCTGCCCGTTCTGCAGGCATTCGAGAAAACGAGCCCCAAATTCAAGCCAACTCAATGCAGGTGCCACCACAGCATTTCCAAAGTCTGTACTAAAGATTTGCACCTTATCAAATCCAGCCCTGGATCTGGAATTTTGCAGCCTTTTGTGTTTCTACTTCTGTCACAAGCACAAAACTTTGAGCGTCACTAAGATCTCTAAACTTTAGCAAAAAATTTTGAAACCGAAGGTCAGGAGTTGTGTTGCATCAACCTCCTGTGCGCCTTCAGCTTTGGTTTGCCACACTTGTTTATGTGAAAGAACAGTTCCTGTGCTGGCTTCCTCCGGCAGTTGTTTCACTACTTCTTTAGCTATTAAAGCAACAAAATAAGAAGAGCGATAAACCCCAGACATAAGCCGTCCTGTGGAGAGATGCTTCCCACATCAGGTCAAATTCTGCTCATTTCCCCTGGTCACTATTTTGTTCTTAAGGAATGACCATTTTATTTAACTCCCCAGATAAGCCCAATAAAAGCAGCTGCTCATAAGAAAGTGTTCCTGCTGGGTGCTGCCTCTGCACCATGGTGGAGTAGGTTTTCCAGCCACAGCACAGCCCAGAGAGGGTGATGTTCCAGGGGGTGATGGGGGCAGCTGGCACAAGCAGGAGGCTGTGTTTCTGAGGGAGCTCAGCGCTTAATTGGACGAGCCAGGTCTTGGATCCGAGCAGAACAAGTTGCCTTCTTCGCAGTCTCCTTCACTGTGAAGGCATCTGGGTTGAATTGAGCCAAGCCCCCAGGAGGCCTGGGGGAGCAAGGACAGAGCTGGTCAATTTGGGCTGGAGCAAGGCCAGCTCTCAAAGCTGCCTGCCAGCTGGCACACCTCCACTGCTGTCACCAGGACACCAGTGAGAAGGGGGGCCCCATCTCTCACTGAAGCTGTCACAGCCACTACAGCCAGGCATTCCCTCACCCTCTGTGAAACGTCCTACCCACCGCTTCCTGCTGCCCAGGCTGAGGCCAGCTCCATCATGCTGGGCAACATGAATGTGCTACACTGTGCCGTGTGGCAGCTGGCTGCTTTTTATAATTGCTATTAATAATTAAGAAGTCTCAACCAGTAATTCCTACTGGAATTAGAAAGTTCCTGTTACTCCTCTTTTGATTATCCTTCCACCTCAAAAATGCTTTTTAAACTACAATCCACATATCATTAGCACATCCAGCCATATAAAATCCATGTATTTTGGAAGTGAAGGAGCAGTGGCTTAATCACACTGGCCAAACCCAAATCAACAAGGTGCCTGCACAAAGTGGGCCGAGAGCGGATCATTTCCCCATGGCAGGGAAGCAGCACCTACCTTTTGCAAGGCTGGGCCAGTTCCACGAGCCTCGGTGTGGCCACTGCATGCTTCGCAGCCTTCGTCACTGGCCACTCAGCATCCCGCAGGGGCACATAGTCAGGATGCAATCTTTTTGCCCTAGCCAGCTCCAGGGTCCGAGGGCTTGCGATTGCCTGCTGAGCTAACTTGGAAACCTGAGGAAGAATGGGGAGGAAGGTCCTTACAGGTGCTCCTGGCATTCAAGGCTGACCAGCCTGCAACTCAGTGTACCCAGGTTCACAGCCACTGACCGCACACAGATGGGACATGATCCTGTCGTGTCTGGCATCAGACCAGCCGTGGAAGGAGAAACCACCACCTGACCAGTGCCACAACCTGCCCTCCAGCCTCCTCTTACTCATAGCCCTTTGTCCAACCCAACCCCCAGGACTGGAGGTCCCAATTAGACACTTGTCCATCTCACTCCGTCCCCACAACTGCAGGGTAGGCACAGGTCTGCCCTTCTCTGGGGATGTCTGCTGGGAGCCAGTTCATGTTCTGGACGGAGGACGAGTCCTGCTCTCCAGCCCAGGAAGCAGCGACATCAACCTCACAGGCAGCAGCACAGGCAGGGCTGCTACCCGTGCCCTCCCCTCTGCCCAGCATCCCTGCTGTGCACGGTCCTGGGCGATGCTGCCTTACCGGATGGATGACAGATTCAGGAAAGCTGAGCTCATAGCAGCAGGTCACCTTCCTGACCCGGGGCTCTGCGAGACGCTGTAACCGCGAGGATGCTCTCGCCATGGCCACGACATTTGTAACCTGTGTTGGCACCTGCACAGGTTCAGAACGGGGGAGGGATGTGCAGACACAGAGCTCATCCACAGCAGCCCACAGGGACACACTTCCTCTCCAAAACTGTGAGCACCCAAGAAGGAGCACTCTTACTTTCCCAGCACCCATTATTTTTTGTTCACTGAAACTACAAGGTAATTTTGGCACTATCAAGACTTGTATGTTGTAGCCAATGTTACTTTTCCCCCCTAACTGTTGCCCACTCATAGCCAGGAGAGGAATGCTTGTAATGAGAGCCTGTGTAGCCAGGTAAGAGTGCAGAGAAATTTCTTCTAGAGTAATGTTCTTCACATTCATCTTCCTGGCTGAACCAAATAATTTCCTTGCTAAGGAGAGACGCTCAGATTTCAGGATAAATATGCTGGTGCAGTTAATGCATTCCTACAGCAACAGTAATTACTGCTCCAGGACTTCTTCCTCTGTTTTTCACAGGGTTACTGATGCCAAGGCCTGCTCCAGCACAGCCTCCCTTATTTCCCAGCCGAGACTGCAGCCAGAAAACTTAGCCTTTGCCATGGAAATGACTGTAATCTGAGATTGCCCCAGGCCCTTTCACCCCTGCCAAAGCAATGACCCGCCTAAAAGGAGAAAGTTCAGAAATACATCTCTAAATAAGGCTTCTGGTAAAACACTGTTAAAATATACATACTGTTTGCAGGCTCATCCCCTCGATATACACAGATAGGAGCACAGCTGCCCAACTACAAACACAACTGTACTCCCTACGAGCTAAACAGGCCATTCCCATCAGGTTTCTCCACTTTCCCAGGCTGCTTTATCAGGGGATGCAGCCCTGATTCCTCCCTTGGCTCTCCTGCTATTCTGGGCTGCTCCGGCCTGGCTGCTTTCTGTCTCTTAGTAGGGAGATTTTCAAAGACAGCACCTCACTCCACAAAGGCAGCTTCTCTCAGTATCTCAAACCCCAGCAGAACCAGACAGCTTCTCGCCTCCGGAGCACACACTGGGCACATCCAGGGGCAGGACACAGGGGGTAAAAGCTCAGAACAGTTTGCTGCATCGCTGCCCCCTCCAAATCTCACTCAACCACCTCCTCACCTCTCTGGCATACAGGAACTCTGGGTGCAGCACCTTTGGCCGGGCAAGCTCCAGGATCCGCGGGGAGGCCTTATAGCTCAGTGCAGCTGGCGACACGGGCCACTCAGGGGACTGGCGAGGTCTGGAAGCAGAGAGTTGTGGCACCGTTACTCATAGATACTCCCCCACACTGGTTAAACCAGGCTGCAGCTGCGATGTGTAAGCCTCATGTTTGCCACAGTAGAAGGCAGCTTTGTCTTGTGGCTATTTCCAGTGTAGAACCCACTCATGCCATGAGTCCAGAGGTCCTAATCCCAGCAGAGCCCCTTCTCTGCATTTTGCCTTCTGTTGTACCCATCCTCTGTTCCTGTTGTTACTATTTTGAAACTGCACTGATGCTGCAAGACCCAAGGGCCTACCTATAGGATCCTACAGGCTTTCTAGCCTCTCACCTTTGCTGCAGGTAAGCAGCCTGGTATTTTTTAGGTTCAGACAACTTCAGCAGTCGATCAGAAAGGAAGCCAAAATTCACTAGTGGGGGACGCTCACAGATCATTGATTCCTGTCCGCAGCTGTAAAAGAAGAGAGATCTTGAGGAACAGCACAGAAGAGTTAGTAAAAGGCAACTGACAGAGAACATGAACGTGGCAGGTGGTATCCTCAGTCTGGTTAAACATCCATGCCTGCTGCATGTACAAAAGTTGGCACCAGTGCACATGGAAAAGCCATGAACAAATTGGGCATTTACACTTGAGATTTCCTGACTTGAAAGGTAAATGCTGTTTGCGTATGCAGAGTCCTGTTTTAAGCACCCTCAGTGCATTGCTTTCAAAGTCGAGGCCTTTCCCTGGACCATTTCAAGAAGCCACTCCACAACACAAACCTGGCAGCATCTCTGTTGTTCAGCTCTGCCAATTTAGAAACCTCTTTGTTGCAACGGCTTAATAGCACCTTGTGCTCTTGTAGCTCCTTTCAACTTGGGATCTCCCCAGGCTTGCCTAGTGCACGCTCATCCAGCTTTCCGTCAGCCACAGCTGATACAGACACCTGTCATCACTGGGGAAGGGGTGAGCAGAGGTGAGCAGAAAGGCAGGAAGGCCTGTCAGAGGGACACCATTATCAGAGGCAGAAGCTCTCAGGCAGATGAGAGCCCCTGAACTGATGACAGTGGCAGAGGAGAGAAAACTACAGACACGCATGTCTTGACATCCCTCCGGGTAGAGGAAAGTCAGGATTGCAAGACGGTTTCATTTTCATTGCTAGGAATTCTTACAGACTAGCAACCACCATCTCATCTCTGAAAGAGCTTCATCCTCTCCAACAGAGCTACAGGTGAATTGCTTCAAGTAATGCAGCATCACCCAGCCCCACTGAAGTTTTTTACATCATTTTTCACTCTTATTCCCAAACATGGACTGCTTTGACTGGTTGTTTACCATGCAGTGACAGCAAAGGTTTAACTCAAGGCAAAAGACCTCGATTCCCTCTAGCGAGCAGGACGTTGCAAGATTTTTCTCTTCATAGCACTTCCTAACTTTTATCCTCAAGATTTAGGCCAGGCTCCAAGAAGATGCAGGGGTTCACTGATTTTGTCCAGGTGCCCAGCTGGACTGCATCAGCCTCACTCTAGGGATGCACAGGTGTGACACAGACATGTTTCCAGCAAGGCGTGCATGCATGCACATGATGCCTCTGCTTCTAAGCTGAAGCAGAGCTGCTGTTTGGGGCTTTTCTGTTACTGCAGAGGAACATGCTCCCATGCACTTGGAGACTGAGATCAAGGCTGGCTCCTATGGCAGCTGATCCAACCCAGAGCTCCAATCAGACCAGCAACCACCATGTGTTGCAAAAGGCTTTCCCACAGCCAGGAAGCAGGTACAAGGAAATAAAAGGGCACCGAAACTTAGCACTCCCTAGTTCCTCCTCATTTTGGAAGTCAAGCACTCAGGGTGATGATGCTCCCATAGCACTTTCTTCCCTCCTACAGATGGCCCCTGTTCGAAACATCAGTACAGCCTGGTGGGTCTCAGTGGCACGGAGGTCCCTGTGGGGCAAGTGATGGCAGGAGAGGAGATGGCATCTCCTCTTACCTTGGGAGCCAGCACATCCCCCTGATTAGAGAGCACCATCCAAGCTGCCTCCTTCCCCAGGATGTGCTATCACATCACTGACCTGCACTGATGCTTGCCAAAATCCTGCTTGGGCTTGGCCAGTGCCACTGTTCTTGGGGATGGTTGAGCTGTCACAGCATGCCGCGAGAGGGTCCAGATGGTCTCTTGGTTTCCCCACACAAGCCTAGCAAGAACAGCAAGGGTGTGAAATTTTAGAAACATGCACAAACGTGAAATGTGCTTGCTGGGCCTATCCTCCCTGGAAGTGTTCAAGGCCAGGTTGGATGGGGCTTTGGGCAACCTGGTCTAGTGGAGGGTGTCCCTGCCCATGGTGGGGGGATTGGAACTAGGTGATCTTGAAGGTCCCTTCCAACCCAAACCATTCTATGGTTCTATGATTCCCTTCTTAGGATGGGACACACATGGTCCCCCTGGCACTGAATTTCCTAACACTGTCCAGGTGGTTGTTGTCAACTCAAAAAGAAAAGAGCCTTCAAGTTATGAGTCTGCTTTTACAGTTACCAGTGGATGTTCAGAAAGGGTCGTTTCATTACATGTCTGAAACCCCTGGGGGAGTTTCATGATTGCATTTTTCTTGCCTCACCATTACCACCTAACTATACCACAGGTATGACTGTAAAAATAGTGATAATAATAATGTTACGGTCAGGGTGTGCCATGGAAAGTGGGTGAGGTTTTGCAGCATGTTAGTGGTTACTCTCCTGTGCCCAGGGCAAATTTGGAGTTGCTCATCCCCCATTGAGAGAGAGGCCATGGTGGGAGAGGGTACCACTGCAGTCAGGGCAGGGAACACCAGGGTGATGGGTTTATGGAGACCTTTTCAAGCACAGTGACACCCATCCAGACAGTGGAGAAGAGATGTTATCAAGAGACTGCTGCCCTGGCTTGTCAAGCCATAGCTTGACTCCTTAATGCAGACAGCAACTCTGTTCCTAAAGCTTGACTGTGTCCTCCAGGATACAGCAGCCTGTGGCTCCCACGATGTCTGGTCCCCTTGCACCACAGCACCATCCTACCCTGCAACATCTCAGTGGGTCAGCTCAGATGGGGCAGCAAAGGCAAGACTTGGGTCAAGTCCGTTTTTTGGATTGAAAACAAGAAAGAGAAAATTGAAGAGAGCCCCTCACACACTGAACATCTCAATCTGGTTTTTTTTGGAGCCACTTCTGCTCTTAAGAGGAAAGCAGTAGCAAGACAAATGCAAAGGCCCCATCAGTCCCCAGTCCTTGAGCCAGGGCTGTCTGAGCACCTCCTTACCTGGGATCATTTGCACAAGCTACTTTCTTGGGTTCTGCAAGTTCCTGTATCCTGTCAAAATTGCAGAAAAGGACAAATGTGCCATTACACATACAGTTAAACCAACAAAGCATAAAGAAGCTACTGCTGCACTCAAAGCCATATCGCACTCTCGAACCCCTGTGCCTTTGCCTCCATCCCTTGTGAGAGTGCATTTAAGGGATCTCTCTCTCCAAGTAATTTTCCACCCATTTAATCTGCTGGACTGACCAGCCCATGGACTTTTGTGCTATCTCTTGGATTGCACAGACATGAATTTGCAAGTCTGCCCTCACTGTGGGGTCCCTTGGCAGGGAGAGGGGGAAGGTTCTTTTCTGGTTAACAACATGCCCTGCAACCCCAGCAGGTAGGAGATGGATGATCTCCCAGCCTACAGGAGCCCAGGTGAACAGAAACACCTGTTATGAACACGTTTGTGGTTTACTAAAAGGCATCATGGAGACAGCACTGTTCTCACATGGCATTACAAGCACAGGTGATTTTTTTTAATTTATAATTTTATTTCAGTCTGTTTAGCACAGGGGCCTCAGATGCTATAAAGACACAGGGACATATGTGCTCTGTGCCCTAGGAGCAGCACTGAAAATGTTTTTACTGAGTATTCATCAGACCAAAACCTTTCAGGAAGATCAGGTATCACTGCCTGCTCCTGCTGATGAAGTGTCCCAAGCCTGAAATCCCAGCGGCTGGCAAGCATTTGTGCTTTGTGAGCCTTGGTACAAAGAGAAGGACAAGACAATGCCAGCGTCACAAGTGGCTTGCAGAGCTCCCTGGCATCACTGACCAAGCCGGTACTCACCCAGTGAGGCTGCAGGTGCCTGCCCCCAACCAGCTGGGGAACAACCCCACGAGGTGGGCAGCTGTGGAAGTGCCCCACTATGGAAAAAGCACAGAAGGTGAACGCCTGGGGCATTGCTTCCCTGCTTAGTATCACCCAGCAATAAGGCAACATACCCTTAAAGAGGTGCGGTGACACCAAAGAGAGAGATGTTTGCTGACAGAGAACGGTCTGTGCTTTGGTGACACACCTGTGGTTTCTCTGATGGGGCCAACGCCTCTAGTGAGACACCGAGCCCCAGCAAATGCTTGCCAGAGAGCTCAGCACCACAGAGACCCTTGCAATGGCAGGCTGCTGTTACAGCATCCTCACTGCACGCTCTTTGTGAGACACCTGCTGATTTTGTCACACTTAACTGCCGGTCACAACACTGCAAACACGGCTCCCACCGGGATCCCACAGAGGGAACTGCCTGTAGGACTTTGGCCACCTGCCGCCAGTTCAAGACGGGACATGCTCAGGAAGGCAGCCACCATTTCAGGAGCCAAAAACCAGTTTCAGCTGTTTGTTCCCAAGCGGCTCCCCGGGGGCTCTTCCTTGCAAAGGTGCAAGGGGGTGAAGGATTACCACACGGAGGCACCCCCCAGCCTAGCTGCGCCGCAGAGGTGGCACTATCTCTGCCGGCAGGCTCGTCGCTTTTCCCCCACCGCTGGCACAGATCCACCACACAGCCACTGCCAAACTCAGCACAAAGTGCATGGGGCCCTACTGCCCCACATCGCTGGCTTGGACACTGCTGTGCAAAGCTTGCATCATGACCCAAGGAACGAGTCACATGTACATCCAAATCAGGTCCCTCAACTCAACTGACAATTGTTAAGGGTTTGGTTTTTTTTTTTCCAATTACAAAAAAAGATTACTTTCTACTCTTTTATCATGGCAAAAGCTATGGACAGACAGGCATCCCCACACAGGACACATCTGCAGCAGCTCTGCAACTTGAAGGAGTTAAAGCACCTCACTGACCAGGGGACAGCCCTGGGGGAGCCTTTGCCATTTGGTCCTGCTCATGCTTCCCAGCAAGGAAAATGAGGCCTTGCTGCAGCCAGACACAGAAATACCTCCCCTCCGCTGCCTGCGCTCACACAAACTCATTGCTTAAGGGGGGATCAAGCCCCTTTGAGATCAATTCCTTGTACAGCAAAGGCTCACAGCCTGCATTTTTAAGGGGCAGGACGGTCAGACGTGGTTTGTCTTGAGAAGCAGGGGGAAGGGCAAAACCAGGCATCATTTCCTCTGTGTGTTTATCACAGTGTCATCTGATAGATCAGCTCACTGTTTGGTGTAAATCCCCAACTGAGCCCTCCCAAGAGACGTGCGGCACAGCCCGAACACCCAGCCAGGAGGCCGGGAGGGCTTCTTACCTGTTATATGAGCATGCAGACAAGTAACAAGAAACTGCAAAGACAAGAAGAGGTGAATTTAAAAGCTTGGTAAAACCTGCAGCCTGGGCTGTCTGCTCTTCAGCGTGAAATAATCATAAGGCAGATGAAGTTTGTGCATCTCCTTAGGATACAGTTGTTCGGCAGTTATTTGTACTGTTTTTCCCTGGTACCATCCTGGTGCAGCTGCACAGCAAGCTCGTCTCCAATGGCTGCTCCTCACTGCGGGGTGCTGACAGTCACCCCCACACTGCAGGAGGGAGCACCCTCAGCATCACGTCCCCTCACGTCATCCTCCCCCTGCAACCAGGACCAGTGGCCACCGCTAACCTGCGGGCTCCCCCCGGCTTGGTGCAGCTTCCCCTTATCGCTGCCTTCAACAACTTCAAGGGGACATTTTGAGAGCCTCAGGGGAGTAGCTGCTATATTAAACTGGGACTCCGTAGCAGTACAGAACAAGCTGCCATGTTTTAAAGGTGGGGAGCGAGGTGGGGGGACATGGGAAAACCAGAGATGTGGCGACGCCGGTGCTGTGGAGAAACCAGCCCCGCGCCCCGATGGCAGCAACGGCCGGGCTGGCACGGCTTCCCCCGGCAGACA